GGGCCCCCTCTCAACAACACCAGGAAAGGTCGCATGGTCCCCAAGGCCCCGCAACCTCGCCACTGACCCGGGAAAGGCCAGCTTCCTTAGATCGCGCAGCGTCACCGTGGAATGACATTTCGCCGCAGCCGGGCTCGGCAAACTTCCGCAATCGTAGGCTGCAACCAATAATGATCACCCCCACTCTCGGGTTTGGGACAAGAAGACGATCGGAAATAATTGCATCAGCACATGATTCCAATTGGCCGATCGCGCTCAGCGCAGGTTGACGGCCCTGAGCTCCCCCCCCCCCCCCCCCCCCCCCCCCCTCCCCCCGCTGGCCGATCACCTCTGTGGGTTGCAGACGCCGTATCTCGGCCTGCTGTCACCAACGTCGTAAGGTCCGTGCTCGACTATCGTTAACGTTTCCGACCTCCCATTGTTTTCTGGGGTCGTCTGAACATGCCCGTTCACGCAACCCGTCCAACGCGTTTTCGCGCCGATTGTCCGAGGTCGGGTTAAAGCAACTATCTGGGGCCAGGTCAGAGCAGCTGTCCCGGGACAAGTGGGAGCGACTGCTCAGGGTCCATGTCTGTCTGACTGAAATCAGGTCAGTCAAACGAAATTGTCTGTCTGAAACCAGGTCAAAGGTACTGCCCTGGATAAGGACGGAGCAACTGTGAACTCAGAGTGGCTGTCCTCGGTCAGTTGAGAGCGGCTGTTCTGAGCCAGGCGAGAGCGGCTGCTCTGAGTCAGGTGAGAGCGGCTGCTCTAAACCAGGCGAGAGCGGCTGCTCTGAGCCAGGTGGGTGCGGCGTGCCGGCCGGACCAGGCTTCCCCGGTGGGGGCGGCGGCTGGACCCGCCGCCCCAGTAGTCGGTCGACGTGCTGCTGCCACTGCTGGTCGGAGAGACCGCGCGCCCAGTCTGGTGTGGCCTCGGCTGGCAGCCGTACAGCCCGCATGGCGCGGCGCACGGCCTCCGCCTGTTGCGGCGGCAGCAGCAGCGCCGCCGGTGTCCGGGCCGCCGATCCGAACAGGCGCTGCCGCTCGCCGACCGCCTCCTTTTGACGCTCCAGCTCCGCCTGCGCCGGTCACACATACGACACCAGTCAGATGGACAGACACACATACGGCGTCAGTCAGACGGCCAAACGCACACACGGCACCGGCCAGATGGAAGGCCGCACACATGACACCGGTCATATGGAAGGCCGCGCACACGGCACCAATCAAATGGAAGGCCGCGCACACGGCACCAATCAAATGGAAGGCTGCACACACGGCACCGGTCAGATGGAAGGCCGCACACACGGCACCAATCAAATGGAAGGCTGCACACATGGCACCGGTCAGATAGAAGGACGCGCACACGGCAGCCGTCAGATGGAAGGCCGCACAAACGACACCAGTCAGATGGACAGACGCACACACGGCACCAGTCAGATGGAAGGCCGCGCACACGGTACCGGTCAGATGGAAGTCCGCACACACGGCACCGGTCAGATGGAAGGCCGCACACACGGCACCAGTCAAATGGAAGGTCGCACACACGGCACCAATCAAATGGAAGGCCGCACACACGGCACTAGTCAGATGGAAGACCGCACATACGGCACTAGACGGATGGAAGGCCGCACACACAGCACCAATCAAATGGAAGCCCGCACACACGGCACTAGTCAGATGGAAGGCCGCACACACGGCGCTAATAAAAATGAAGGCTGCACGTACGGCACTAGTCAAATGGAAGGCCGCACACACGGCGCCGGTCAGAGGGACGGACGCACAAAAGGTGCCGGTCAGGTGGAAAACCGCATACACGTCGATGAGCAAGAAGGAACAAGCGTGCAGTAATACTACCGTCGGAGTCATCGTCGTCACTACCGTCACGCTATGACACCCATATTACACCACACCACACCACAACACACCACAACGCACCACACCACACCACACCACACCACACCACAACGCACCGCACCACACCACACCGCACCATACCACACCACACCACACCGTACCGCACTGCACCGCATCGTACCGCACCGCAGCGCACCACACCACACCGCGCACTGCACCGCATCGCATTGCACCGTACCGTACCGCACTGCACCGCACCGCACCGCGCGCTGCACCGCACCCCACTGCACCGTACCGCACCGCACCGCACTGCACGGCACAGCACGGCACGGCACGGCACGGCACGGCACCGCAACGAGCCACATCACATCACACTACACATCACATCACATCATAGCACACTATATCACATCATGCCATCCCACTTCACATCACACCATCACATCGCCGTCATCTCTGCACAGAGTTCTCGTCTCCGCCGACAAGCGGGGGCATTCAGCGGCCGCCGTGCAGTTACCTACCTCGGTCGCCTCCAACGGCCAGGCCGGACGGTCGTCAGCCGGGCTGGCGGCGCGCCCTACGTCCCGGTCAGCGATCGGACCTGACCGGGACGTCCGTTCGGCAGTGGTGACGTTGGCCTCTGACCCGTTGACGTCGTGCTCCCACGGCGCCGCTGTCAGCTCTCCAGCTGGCTGGTATTCATTATCAGCGCGATCCGACAGCGCCTCGTCGTCTTCAGAGGATTCATCCTGATGAGAGCGTTGAGTCAATGTGTGACAAGAAAACGTTTCCAGGACCACAGTACATAACAGTGCATGCGCCCTGGCGGTGGGAACAGACAATGCAGGCTATCCAGGATCTCACTTAACAATGAAAGAATGGAATATGGCCCGAAAAGCCGCCTTCCGCGCATAAAAGTGAACAAAACCAAACCGTATGAACATGGTGCACATCATAGCGCCATAACATGTACACATTGCACGATTCATATTTCTGTATAACGGTATGTACTGTATAACGGTCATGGAATGCACACGCGAGATCGTTAAACGAGTAGGCAAGGAGCAGATTACACTCATAACTTGTAGCCTGAGGCAGTCGTTGCAGGTCACTGGGCGCGGCTGACCTCAGAGCTGACCCCATCCGGCTGGGGGATGGTGCCGTCGGTGCCCTCTGGCGGCGACTGACCTCGGAGCTGACCCCACCCGGCTGGGGGATGGTGCCGTCGGTGCCCTCTGGCGGCGACTGACCTCGGAGCTGACCCCACCCGGCTGGGGGATGGTGCCGTCGGTGCCCTCTGGCGGCGACTGACCTCTGAGCTGACCCCACCCGGCTGGGGGATGGTGCCGTCGGTGCCCTCTGGCGGCGACTGACCTCGGAGCTGAGCCCGTCCGCCTGGGGGATGGTGCCGTCGGTGCCCTCCAGCGGCGACTGACCTCGGAGCTGACCCCGTCCGGCTGGGGGAGGGTGCCGTCGGTGCCCGCCGGCAGCGGCTGCCAAGGCGTCTGCCCGCCCAGCAGCTGGTAGCCGTCCGGCGGCGGCGGCGGTGATTCCGTGGGCGACGTCTCCTCGGTGGACGGCGGTCGAGGCGGCTCCGGCGGCATCCGTCTGCAGTGAGGGCGGCAGGTGCACTCCACTACACATCGCAGATGCCTGATAGCCTTATCCACCAGATTTTGACAAAAAGTCTTGCATTGGTTAACCACAGGCAAATATCCTTTTAGAGAAGTGTTAGCCGAATCAGATCCACAGTTTGTGAGCAAAGCCTGTCACACAGCAAGGTTGTCTTTGGCAGTGTTTAACTCCGTAACGATACGTGTTGCACGTGATACGTGATAAAATCATGCAACTATTAACCTTGAAATGAACAAACAGGTCGATGTTGGATGCGTTGCTGACCGCAATTCTTACAAGAACCCAGACATTAATAGCATGACCACTAACTTACTACCACGTGACCAATTATGACCGACAGCTTGCTTTCAGCGACCAATTCCACCATCCCGCATTTGAAGTCAATAATCTAACGAGTCCAAAGGCAAAGAAACTTAGTGGTCTACCAACAAATTCCAGCAATTGGTCTTATAAAAGAGCTTGCACGACTTAAGACGTGGTTCGGAGCTGCCGGTAAGCCGCTGGAGTGGCCAATTTGGTCCGGCCGGCGGGCGGACGAGATACGTACAATATTTATGGTGTTAGCTTTTCGTGCCGGCCAACTATTGCCACGGCGGTCGGCCAGGACGCGTAGAATATCTATGGACAAGGGCCCTCAGCGTTGACCGGAACGCCACGTGACCCGGTGAGAGGCCAACCAATGAGCGCGAGCCGCCCAGCTGCACGAGGTACGTTCGGCCTGCGCGACCGCCGAACGGGTAGAGCGCCCAGCTGGGGACCGGGTAAGGCTTTGTAACTCTCCCCATCTTGGAAACGGGGCGGCGTCGGCACTTTTTCAATAATTTCCTTCCGTGTCGGTCGCCGTACAGAGTTTGATGTTATATTGCATGACGCTATTGATGCTATATTGCGAAAAGAGCTAACTGCCGCACAGATACACTAATCGGCGTGGCGGAAGCCTAACCTCGGAATAGCGCTGACGTTTTACTTATCACATTCGTGACGTGGCAAAGCGCGTGATGGTGGGTTCACATTTCAGAAAAGGTGTTCGCATATGGCTCGTCAAAGCGGGCCATTTCGTCGTTGGTTTGGCAGTGCCAGCCTGATCACAGGGCAGCCGACAGTCGTGACCCTTCTCAATGCCTATACACATCTAGTTTCCGAGCTAAACACGTCCGCGTGGATTTGCAGGCTATTTCGGGGAGACTATTTCAGGGTCACTTACGCATACTGTAACTGTTGAGTCCCTTATATCTGGCGTTCGTGAACACGATTTTAAGATGCAACGGTCGTCAACTGGCTCTCAATCGATGCTGTGCAACGTGCGATTACCTAATCAAACAATGACGTATTGAGGAGCATATTTACTAAACACAGAAATTCTGCTGTCTAGAGCAGTCCATTTCATATAAAATTATATCAACATTTATACGCAAGTATCAATTTTGATACAATTTATAAATATTGATATACTTCGCTCGCCGAAAGTGCAGTCCGCTAATCTACTGACGTGTATTCCCAGTTCACCTGACCGAGCAATACTCCACTGGCGAGCTCCGTCATATATTTCCAAAGCAGGAAGTGTAACACTTTAACAAACAAATACAGACCACACGCGTGAAACGCGTCCTTGCAGGCGGACCATGTCACCCGCTCGCCTCCACGGCCGACAGTTTCCGTTTCCGAGTCCGCTTCCTCCGTTTGCCGGCTGCGTCGTCGGCCCTGGCGGACCAGCCGTGAAGCCGGCACGCCTGCTCCTTCTTCTCCTCTTCCACACGTTCCATTACCAGCTCCAACGCCTTCACGTAAGCCGCCTCGTACTGGCGCAGCTCGTCCAGGCACGGCGGCCTCTCCGGCACACGCTCCTGCTTGCCGACTTGCGCCAGCAGGCGCTGGAAGTGGCCACGCTGCCGCTCCAGCAGCAGCGTAACCGCCTCACCGGGCTGGCCGGCGCGCGCCGTCCGGCCGACGCGGTGCACGTACGTCTTGACCAGCGCCGGGATGTCGTACGAGACGACCGCGCTCACGGCCTCCACGTCCATGCCGCGCGCCATGGCGTCCGAGCAGACGAGCGCTGACAGTTGTCCAGCCGTGAGGGCGGCGAGCGCTCGCCGCCGCCGCGCCGCCGGCACGCCTCCCGAGAACTCGGCCACGGCTGGGCCGCCCAGACAGTCCAGCAGCAGCGTCAGCCTGTGCGCCGACTCGTTGGAGTTTGTGAAGATGAGGACGCGACGCCAGTGGGCCTGCCGCAGCAGATGGTGCAGCAGGAGGGGCTTTAGCTGCGGCGCGCACACGATGAACGACTCTTGCAGCTCGGCCGGCGTGGTGAACTTGCCGACAAACTGGCCAGGCCGCGGCACCGCCTCATTGTCCCACACCAGCAGTCTTGGCTGAAACAGTCGCAACCGCTCCAGCTTCTCGGGGTTCTGAGACAAGGTCGCAGAAAAGAGCAGCTTCTGCAGCGGCAGGTGAGGACTGGCGAGTGCGACCGCCGACGACGGGCCGGCCGGGCGGCGCGGCGGCCCGTCAGCCGCTGCCGCCGCCCGCTCCACCGCCTGCAGCCAGCCCGTCTCGGCCATTTCCATCACACGGTCCGCCTCGTCGATGACCAGGTAGCGTAGGTGCGCCAGCGAGAAGCCCTCCGTGCCGCTCAGGTGGTCCATGAGTCGGCCGGGCGTGCTGACCACGATGTCCGCTAGCGAGAGCGCGCCGCGCGGGCCTGGCTCCACCAGCCGGCGCCGCTCGCGTGCCAGCGTGTCGATGCCCAGTAGGCGCACGCTAAGCGGCAGGCCGGCCGCGTACTGGCGGAACACGGCCGCCACCTGCGCGGCCAGGGCCTGGGTCGGCAGCACGACTAGTGCGCGCACGCGGCGCACCACGGCCCCGGACAGCGTCTGCACCAGCGGCAGCACGAACGCCAGCGTCTTGCCGCTGCCAGTGGGCGCTGACACGCACAGGTCGGCCGGCGGCAGCGGCGAGTCGGCGGCGGCCAGCAGCGGCGGTAACACGGCCGCCTGCACCGGAAACAGCCGCTCCACTCCCAGCTGCCGAAGCCGAAGGCGCAGCTCGGGCGCCAGCTCGGCCACCTCTTCCGGCGTTGGCCGCCGCTCGCCAATCTGGTCGGGCCGCGCCAGCCAATCGGGCAATATGCGGTGCACAGTCCGCCGGCCGGCGCGCTCTACCTCCTCCAGCACGGTGAAGTCGGCGTCCTTGCCCGCGTCGTGCCTGCCATCGCTGCTCGTCTCGCTTTCGTCTCGCCTCGCCTCGGCCGAGGCAAGGTCCTGGCTTTCCGCCTGCTCGATTGCGGCAACGTCCTGACTGTCCGCCTGCTCGGTCGCGGCGGTGCGACCCTGGCTGTCCGCCTGCTCGGCTGAGGCAGGACCCTGGCTGTCCGCCTGCCCAGCCGCGGTACGGCCCTGGCTGTCTGCCTGTTCGGCCGGCTCGGCGCCGTCGCACGTGTCGTCGTCAGAGAGGGGGCCGACGCGGCCCGGCGTGGCGGGGCTGCCAGAACTCGTTCGACCGTGCTGGACATCACAGGCTGCCGCACTTGCTGGAGCCTGATTCTGGCCCGAGCGTCGTCCTTTTCGAGCGTTCAGACGGCGAAGAATCTCCGCTTCCCGTTGCACGAGCTCACCATTATCATCTTCTTGTATTGTCATATCGCAATGACTAGTTGCTGTAATGGAAGGCAGTTCCCATTTAAACTTTTGCTCAAAGGCCTCACTTTCATCACGTTAACATTTCCTCCACAGGAAAATTAATAGGCAATTATTAATAAAGGAAATATTGGTTTCTTTGCAGATTGAACGACACATTAAAGGAAATATTCCACAATTGAAGATTTCAAAGCACGCATCAGATGATGAAACAAGCTCACTAACAGACATCGGTGTACTTTTGAGTCGAAAGACTGCTCTAGACGACACAGCATCTATGTTTAGCAAACATGCTCCTCAATACATCACTGATCACATCACCATACCTTGCTCAACATTGATTTAAAGCCGATTGACGGCCGTGATGTCAGGAAATCGTGCTCACAAACGGCAGATATGCACGACTCGACAACTGCATTTTCCTTGGCCTTGATCGCCGCATCGCTAAAAGAATGCGCGGATTTGAGCGACGCTATTATGGCGTCATAGATGCCTGAGTAACCCTGAAATAATCTCCCCCAAAATAGTCTGCAGATTTTTGCCGGCATGTCACACCGAAATTAGATGAATTTAGATCCCAAGAAGGACAGGGCTATAAACTACACCGACTGATCTCCAAAGTGGCTGTTCAGTTCAAAACCCCACACAAATGAGGAACATTCCTTTTAAATGGCACCTCTAGCAGGTGACATTTACTTGCATCGCTAACAACCCGCTGAACACCATGCAAATGTATCTACTTCTACCAAAAGAATACAGCGGTTCGTGTGCGTCATGACATTTCTCTGGCTGTATTTACCATAACTAGTATCAGCCAATGTAATGACATGAATGTTACAGTATAGTACAGGGAGATCCAAAGCCAAGACAATGCCAAGCACAAGTCAAAGCTGGTGGTTTCGAAGTTAAGTTGTGCAGCCGAGGTCAGAGTCAGTTTCTTTGTATATTAAAACGTGAAGCCGAATCCCGAGCCTACGGCTTTGAATTTGCACACGTAAACCCGAAGCTGGAGCCAGAAGCTTCGGGCTTAGGATGCGCTAAGCAAAAGCCAAACCAACCAGTTCAAAATTACGAGGCTGAGCTCGATGATAGCTTAAATGGACCATGTCGTTTTGCGAAACGAAACCATTTTCGCTTGTTTTAAATGTGTGGGAAAAAACGCGCGATACATGGCTCCATGGGGTTGCAGGAGCTGATTCTACTTGTAGCCATAATTGGAATTAAAGGCGTTCTCCATCGGCATATATCTATGACGCCACACCAGTGGGCAGAACTCGGGTTAAAAGTCACTGGAGAACTGGGCCGAGGATGAAGCTCGGCGGCGCAGTGGACGAGCACCAAGATCACCCGAGCGCTTGACCTGTGCACGATGTGATGAGGCAGGCGCGCCCACGGCGGGAGGGAGCGGAGATGTTGGATTCATTTTCAGCGTCAATTTTACGTAAGGTCTAAAAGAACAACGGGAGATCCCGGAAACATTAAGTGCATTATGGGCTTCGACACATGCGTTCCAGAAAGCGTGCTACCTTTTTTGTACTCATCACTTACTGACAGATCAGACGCGTACCCCTTTGATCAGTAATACCGGTTTCCCCAAAGTCCTTCTGAAAACCTCAGAAATTCGATCTTAAGTAGCCACTCCTGCGGGAGAAATGAGAATGGACTCCCTGTTCACCATTGCGAAAATAATGCATTGCATGTGCCTTGCCTTTTCCGATTGATATTTGACTTTAAGGGCGCTTCAACTGCGGTGGTTATTTCGCGCCTTTTCCAAAGTGAGTGTTCTGTAACTTACAGCGCCCTAATGTGTCAACATATTTGTGTAGTGAATGCTGCGCATGCTTCAAACACTCCGTTTAGACAAAAACATTTGCGAACGTAAGGCGATCATCCCAAGAATTCAGCAAAATGCTACACTATGGCTTTTATTTTTATCCCATGGAAGTTCTCACAGTGGCTCTTTTTGACATGCACTTTGACTTTGGGAATGGGAGTACCAGAGGGTCCATAGTGACGCACTGATTTAAACTCCAACCAGTGCGCTTTTGGGCACATGCCCTTGCCGCCCACTGGGCCAATCAAAAATGGTATTTTATTCACACCACTTCAGTGTGCACGGCGTTTGTAATGACGACTGCGGTCGCGACAACTGCTGGGAAGAAGCGTATTACAAAGTTACAAAAGCGTTGACAGTAAGTTGAACTCGAAAATAATTAAAAGTGATATCCTTATTCTGTCTTGACGTTGCTGCAGCGGCACCACTCAGTGGCTTTGTTGGGTGCCACTGATCCTGAGGTTTCACGAGGGCACGTTTTTAAAATATGCCCCAAAAGTGGGACACCCCCTTTTAGCGTTTTTCTTTTCAATAGCGATTGTAACATGGGAGCATTCCATGACAAAGCGCCAGAGCCACAAACCTAAAATGCTCTTTTAAGTACCCGGGGTTGTTTTATGCCCTTATTTCCACTGCACGATTCTGAAAAAGATTAGAGCAATGGTTTAAGTTATGGCCGCGGGCAGTTTTAACACGTCAGCTGACAACGGTATCTTTGAGGACCTATAACGCAATCAAAAATTGTGTAAATCGTACGCACCCACATACCGATGAACTCGCAATAAGTCGGTGCATTTTTAGCGGCCTCCAATTTGTTGTGTTCTGAATTGTCCACCTGACATAGTAATAAAGTCACGTGACCTCCATTGACATTCGGCCACTCTCAAAGTTATTTTGCTTACTGCGGATTTCAGGAGAAATGACCATTCTAACAAAAGCAAACATCTAATAAAACGTGTTCTTCTCCTAAAATGCTAAATACATTCTAATGTATACATACGTGACCGTCGTGATTGGGGCTTTAAGACGCACTCTGTACACATGTAAACCTCATCGTGATTCGGGCTTTAAGACGCACTCTGTACACATGTAAACCTCATCGTGATTGGGGCTTTAAGACGCACTCTGTACACATGTAAACCTCATTGTGATTGGGGCTTTAAGACACACTCTGTGCATGCGCAGCACTTATCGTGATTGGGACTTTAAAACACACTCCAACACATAAACTTCATCGTGATTCGGGCTTTAAGACGCACGCCATGCACACATAAACCTCATCTTGATTTGGGCTTTAAGATGCACTCTGTACACACGTACACCTCACGGTGATCCAGGCTTTATGGTGCACTCAGCTATTGAGGTATACAGCATCATGTGCCTCCCACCCTGGCAGGAATGGCGGGTGCTGCACAGAATCAAACCCCATACCTCCGGTCTCCCAGAGGCATAGCTTAAGCACTTCCCTACTGTACCGCTAATGCATGGCTGATTTCTTGATAAGTCATATCATACTCAGTAATGATGAGTTAAAGGAATGCCATTTGTCTGAGATAATAGCAGTCATCATCAAGCATGCTATATCACAACATGGTGATGATGAAACACTCTTGTCATACAAGTATGCCAAAGCATCAGGGGAAAGAGATGCAGTTTTCTGGGATTTTTTGTCCAAATTTCAATAAAAATCCAAGCATTTGCCTGGCGTCCATCCAAAGCATCCAAGGAATCCATTTGTCCAAAAATTGTCGCATTGCTTCCACATCATATGGGTGCTACCTTCAACTAATAATCAGTCAACACTCCTGTCACTGCACTCCCTGACTTGAACCATATGAAAATAAAGAAAATTATAATGGTTAAGTAATGTGTAGTACACACTTTTATGAAGAGCATCTGCAACAAGCAAACATGAATGACTTGCACCATTAATGACTACCACAGGCTCCTCCAAACTCCTCCAAAAAGGCCCCTTTCATTTAAGGAAGGGTGGAGGAGGTTAGAGATGAGCTTTGCAGAGCATAGAGGAGGTTGGAGGGTCATAGAAACAATCACATTTCTTTGGAGGAGGCAGAACTAATAGTCCCATTCCTCATAGAAAACCATGATCAATAACTACTGATATTTGTTTCAATAAAAACATTAAGCCATAATACCACATCAGTCTCTCCCTTACCCTGGTTATTCTCCATTACAACCAATGCACCTGTATGCAAAATGCTTCTCACAACTGCACTCAACAGCTTACATAGTTTGGAGGAGCTTCGAGTGAGGCTAGAGGAGCAGCAGGAACAGACTGTTAGTTTCCCTAATTCCACACATGGGCCTGCCACTACTGATGTCCACCAAGTCCATGTCACATAAACCTTTGCACACATTATGTGTACACTGACCAAACAAAATGATCCACGAAGAAGTGGAAAAATCAAAAGTTAAGAGATGCAGTGCGTGGAAAGAAATCACCAGATGAAAAAGCACATATGCCACCCATCTTATAGGTCAGGGTGTACTTTCCTACCTAACGTTAGAAAAAATCATTGTACACCATTCGTCGTGTTTAAGGCATGACATATCGTAAATAATCTCAAAACAGGTAGAATCATGTTCCTACCTTCGAATTTCAATAACTTCGATGGCGGGCCCCCAAGCGCCGCGCGCACCGCACCGCCTGGACTCCCCAGCGCCGTTTCCGCGTTGCCGTTGCGTAAATACAATATTTCTGCGTACCAAGAACTGTACAAAATGTACGGGACCAAAGTAAACCATTCGTCAGGTTTAAGGCAGGACATATCATAAATAATCACAAAAAAGGTAGATTAATGATCTTAGCTTCAAATTTTTTTATAATTACGATGGCGAGCTCCCGAGCGCCGCACACACACAGCACCCGCGACACCGGCGCCATTACTGCTCGGGTCACAACATTACTGCGAACCGTAAAAATGTACCGGGACAAGGTAGCAAGAATCCATGAAATTTGATCCTCGACGCCAACGGGACCATGGGTTGCAGGGGGATTGGGTGGGGAATGTAAAGCAAAATGAGAACATGGCAGCTAAATAAAAGCTCACTACATGGCACCTATATATGGCATGGAACATGGATGCCAATGAGATGCTGGGTTGAAGGGGATATAGGGTGGGGAGGTTAGGTTAGGTTAGGTTAGGTTAGGTTAGGTTAGGTTAGGTTAGGTTAGGTTAGGTTAGGTTAGGTTAGTTAGTTAGGTTAGGTTAGGGTAGGGTAGGTCAGCTTAGCTAAGCTTAGGTTCTGGTCTATTCTCAGGTTAGGTTAGGTTAGGTTAGGTTAGGTTAGGTTAGGTTAGGTTAGGTTAGGTTAGGTTAGGTTTGGCTAGTTTAGGATATGTTCCGGACTATTCTGGCCTGCGTGTTTCATAAATGTACCTAAACTCGATAAGAAACGATTTTGGTTGCTTTATTATTGTTACCTTGGTCCCGTACATGTTTTATGGTTCTTGATAAGCAGAAATATTGTGCTTTCGCAACAACGCAGAAACGGCGCTTGGAAGTCGAGGCAGTGCGGTGCGGGGCGTGCGGCGCTCGGGAGCTCGCTATCGTATTTATTAAAATTCGAGGGTAGGAGCATGATTCTATCTGTTTTGAAATTATTTACGATATGTTCCGCCTTAAACACGACGAATGGTTTACCTTGGTCCCGTACATTTTGTAGAGTTCTTGGTAAGCGGAAATATTGTATTCACGCAACGGCAACGCAGAAACGGCGCTGGGGAGTCCAGGCGGTGCGGTGCGCGTGGCGCTCGGGAGCCCGCCATCGAAGTTATTGAAATTCGAAGGTAGGAGCATGATTCTACCTGTTTTGAGATTATTTACGATATGTGCCGCCTTGAACACGACGAATGGTGTGCAATGATTTTTTCTAACCTTAGGTAGGAAAGTAGGCTTTTTTTTACTTGGGTACCTGTATTGCCGACGGTGGGGAGAGAGCTACGCTGGCTGCAGGGTTCCTGTACTGCCATGATGGAGAAATGCTGTTAGGTATCAGCCGACGTAGTGACGTCACTGAAAATGGGTTTGCATCGATCTGGGTTCTTTTGGGCCGACTGAAGGCTACAAGGCTTTTGCTAGCGATATGATGTCACTGGTATTCGGCTGGATATGTGACGTCACTGGTTGTGAGGCTTTAGGGCTCTTTTGGGTGCAATGAATGCCGTAAAGCATCACCTGACGATATGTCGTCGCTGGTATTCAATGAAACATCAGGCGCAACGGGCCTTATTCCATCTTTACCTTTCGTACCTGTCTGCTGCAAGCATTTGCGTGCCGAATAAAAGCTTGACCGAATCACCTGAATGTGTGACGTCACCAATCACCACTTGATACGAGTGCACTTAGGCCCACGGCCGCGGTGTATCATGTTCCGTGAAATATCACTGGGTATCGTGACGTCAGTGATATTCGACTAAATATTGGTCGCAACAGGTCAAGGTTCATTTTTAGCTTCGTACCTGTCTACTGCAAGCACTGGCGTGATGAATAAAAGCTACCAAATCACGTGAGTGTGTGACGTCACTGGTCATGCATTTTTATGGATCTCTGGGGGCCAACTGAGGGCCGTAAAGCATAGCCTAATGATGTGACGTCACTGGCATTCGACTGCGTGTGATGTCACTTGTGATCAGATTTTACGGCCTCTTTTGGGCCGACGAAAGGTCATACCACATTAACTGAAGATGCGCCGTCACTGGTATCCGAATACAATTCAGGCGGCCATGGCCATGCTCCATCTTTACCTTTGGTACCTGTCCATTGCAAGTATTTGAATGCTGAAGGAAGGGTCTGCCGAATTACCTGAGTGTGTAACGTCACTAACCATTAATTTGTATAGACTGTTTTGAACCCACTGTAAGCCATACCACATCAGCTGACCATATGACGTCACCGGTTTTCGTCTAGGTGTCATGCGCAACAGGCCATGCTCTATCTTTGCCTTTCGTACCTGTTTACTGCAAGCATTCGCGTGCTATATCAAGGTGATGCTGAACCATCTGAGTGCGTGACGTCACTGGTCATGAGTTTATACAGGTTCACTTGGGCAGCCCAATGCAACAAAGCATCATATCCTGTGAAGCATCGCGGGATGATATGACGTCACTGGTATTCGACACAACATCAGGCGCAACAGGCCATGTTCCATCTTTACCTTTCGTACCTGTCTACTGCAAGCATTCGCGTGTTATATCACGTCATTGGTTAAGAGTTCTTACGGGCTCTCTTCAACCCCCTATATGGTATAATGCTTCAGTTGACGATATGATGTCACTGGTGTTCGACTTAGCATCAGGCACAACATGTCATGTTCCATCTTTGCCTTTCGCACCTGTTAAAGTATTGGCGAGCCTAATGATGGCTCTGCCGAATCATCTGAGTCCGTCATCATGAGTTTTTACAGGCTATTGTTGGCCGGGAAAGCCATTACGCATCATCTAACGATATGTCGTCACTGGTAATCCACTAAGTGTGTGACGCCATTGGTCATGAGTTTTCCCGCGCCTTTTTGGGCCGACTTAAGGCCATTAGGCATCAGGTAACGATATGACGTCACTGGTATTCAATTAAGCATCAGATACAATATGTCATGTTTCATCTTTACCTTTCGCACCTATCTACTGCAAGTATTCGCGCGCCACATAAAGGCTCTGCCCAATCACCTGAGCGTGTGGTGTGACTGGTTATGAGTTTACGCGGGTTTACTCGGGCTGACTGAAGGACATCAAGCATCATCTGGCGATGTGACGTCACTGGTATTCAACTTAACACCAGGCGCGACAGGCCATGTTCGTCTTTACCTTTCGTACCTGTCTATTGTAAGCATTGACATGCTTAAGGAAAGCTCTGTGAAATCTCCTGAGTGTGTAATGTCACTGGTCATGAGTTCTTTACGGGCTGCTTTTTTGTACCTATAGGGTACAAGACATCAGTTGACGATATGACATCACTGGTATTTGACTTAATCTCAGGCGCAACAGGTCATGTTCCATCTTTGCCTTTCGCACCTCTATACTGCAAGTATTCGCGCGCTACATAAAGGCTCTGCCGAATCACCTGAGCATGTGGTGTAACTGGTCATGAGTTTACGCGGGCTTACTCGGGCTGACTGAAGGACATCAAGCATCACCTGACCATATGACGTCACTGATATTCGGGCTGTGGCCCAGACTTATGGCCGCTAGGCGGCGCCCTTGATTATTATTTAGCCATCAGGGCATTCCGGACCGTAGCTGCTCAGGGGCGCATCCTGTGATGTCGGGCGGAATAGCTTTGCATATACGTCGGTTTGTGGGCTGGGATCACCTTTGTTTTGTGTTTACGTTTGTTCAAAATTTTAGTCGTTGAAACAGCCCGTTGCGTTTGAAGTTGTTACTTAATGGTGCGCACAATAAAATTAGTGTGCTTAACTATGGTGCATCTCCCACCTCTGCTGCGGAACTCCGTAGCCGTAGGTGGCCAAGTGACCTCCTACCAACTGATGATCAGTGACGTCACATACTCAGGTGATTCGGCGGAGCCTTCGTATAGCACGCGAATATTTGCAGCAGCCAGGTACGAAAGGCAAATATGGAGCATGACCTGTTGCGCCTGATGTTTAGTCGAGCACCAGTAACGTCATGTCGTCAGCTGATGCATTATAACCTAAAATGGGTTCAAAGGAGCCCGTAAAAAACTCGTGACCAGTGACGTCACACACTCAGGAGATTCGACGGAGCCTTCATTCAGCACGTCAATACCTTTAATAAACAAGTACAAAAGGTAAAGAAAGTACGTGGCATGTTGGACCTGATGTTAAGTCGAATAACAGTGACGACATATCATCCTGTGATGCTTCACGGGAGGTGTTGCTTTGTGGCCTTGGGCGGCCCAAGTGAATCCGTATGAACTCATGACCAGCGACGTCACCCACTCAGATGATTCGTCTGGAGTTTAGTCGATTACCAGTGACGTCATATCGTCAGCTGATGCTTGATGTCCGTCAGTCACCCCGAGTAAACCTGCACAAACTCATGGCCAGTTACACCACACGCTCAGGCGAATCGACAGAGCCTTTTTGTAGCGCACGAATACTTGCAGTAGGCAGGTGCGAAAGGTAAAGATGAAACATGGCTTATTGCAACTGATTTTAATTCGAATACAAGTGACGCCATAACGTTATCTGATGCCTAATGACCTGAACTCGGCCAAAAAAGGCCCGTAAAAGCTCATGACCAGTGACGTCACACACTCAGTGGATTACCAGTGACGTCATTTCGTTAGCTGATGCCTTATGGCTTTCGCTCAGCCAAAAATAGTTGGTAAAAATTCATGACCAGTGACGTCGCACACTCAGGTGACTCGGCAGAGCCATCATTTAACGCACCAATACTTTACAGGTACGAAAGGCAAAGATGGAACATGACCTGTTACGCCTCATGTTAAGTCGAACACCATTAACATCATGTCGTCAACTGATGCATTTTTCCCTATAGAGGGTTCCAAGGAGCCAGAAAAAACTCATGACCAGTAACGTTACACACCCAGGAGACTCGACAGAGCCTTCATTCAGCACGTCAATACTTGTAATAGACGGGTACGAAAGGTAAAGATAGAACATGGCCTGTCGCGCCTGATGTTAAGTCGGACACCAGTGACGTCATATCATCAGCTGATGCATTATACCGTTTGGGGGTGCAAAAGGTCCCGTAAAAAGCTCTTGACCAGTGACGTTACTTACTCAGGAGACTCGACAGAGCCTTCATTCAGCACGCCCATACTTCCAAGAGACAGGTACGAAAGGTAAAGATGGAACATGGCCTGTCGCGCCTGAAGTTTAGTCGAATACCAGTGACGTCATATCGTCAGCTGATGCTTGATGTCCTTCAGTCAGCCAGAGTAAACCCGCGTTAACTCATAACTAGTTACACCACACGCTCAGGTAATTCGGCAGAGCCCCTGTGTCGCGCGAATACTTGCAGTAGATAGGTGCGAAAGGTACAGACGAAACATGGCTTAGATGGAGCATGGCCTGTTGCGCATGATGTCTAGTCGAAACCCAGTGACATCATATCGTCAGCTGATGCCTTGTGGCCTATAGTAGGCTCAAAAGAGTGTGCAAATTAATGGTCAGTGACGTACACACTCAGGTAATTTGGCAGAGCCTTCCACGGCAATGCTTGCAATGGACAGGTACCAAAGATAAAGGTGGAACATGGTCTGTCGCGCCCGAAGTTCATTCGAATACCAGTGACGTCACATCTTCAGTCATTGCCGTATGACCTTTCGTCGCCCCAAAAGAGGCCGTAAAACCTCATGACCAGCGACACGCACAGTCGAGTGTCAGCGACGTCACATCGTTAGCTGATGCTTTATGGTCTTCAGTTGGCCGCACAAAAAATCCGCCAATACTTGCAGCAGACATGTACGAAAGGTATAAATGGAGCATGACCTGTTGCCTGATGTTCAGCCAAATACCAGTGACGTCATATCGCCAGCTGATGCCTAACGGCATTTCGTCGGTCCTATAGGGCCCGTGGAAACCCACGGCCATTGACGTCTTACAGTCGTATAGCAGTGACGTCGTTAGCTGACACCTTGTGGTCTTCAGTTGGCCGAAAAGCACCGTTGGAACTCATGGCCAGTGATGTCACACACTCAGGTGGTTCGGCAGCTTTCATCCAGCACGCCAATGCTTGCAGTAGACAAGTACAAAGGTAAAAATGAAGCACGGCCTCTTGCGCCCAGTTTTTATTCGAATACCAGTGACGTCACGCTATCCGGTGATACTTCGCGGACCACGACACACCGTGGTCGTGAGGCCTAAGTGCACTCGTATGAAGTGATGATTAGGGACGTCACACATTGGGGTAATTCGGTCAAACCTTTATGCGGCACGCAAATGCTTGCAGCAGACAGGTACGAAAAGTAAAGATGGAACGAGGCCGGCCGCGCCTGATGTTCAATCGAATACCAGTGACGACACATGGCCAGCTGATGCATTACGGCATTCAGTGGACCCAAAAGAGCCTTACACACTCACGACCAGTGACGTCACATACCCAGCCGAATACCAGTGACATCATATCACAAGCAAAAGCCTTATGGCCTTCAGTCGGCCCAAAAGAACCCCGATCCCGATCGATGCAAAACCATTTTCAGTGACGTCACAATGTTAGCTGATGCCTCACAGCTTTTGCCCCGCACGACAATACTCGAAACCCTGCAGCTAGCGTAGCTCTTCCCTCCGTCGGCCATACAGGTACCCAAGTAAAAAATTACCGGAAAGTACACCTACACCTATCTGATGAAGTTAGGCCTTCCATGAATTACCTCCACGCCTGCACTGCCACGCGAACGTTTCCCCTCAAAACATCGGTAAAAATAGAATGAAACACGATGCATGGTATCACTCACAATGGTGTCCTCCAACTATGCTTGATACTCCCGCACCCCAACCACGCGACTCCAGCGGGCGCCCCACGCGTACTTCGTTCCAAAACCCGCAGAACTACGGTAACCATGGACAGGGCCACCTATATGCAAGGTGGTACCGTCCCGACTTCATGCTTGTCAGCGAGCATCGCTATGTGACGTCATTGGAGATACAACTTCGACCCGGAGATAGTCGTGTACGCAGGAAACTGTGGCGATTATTTCGAGCATATGAAAAGTTTGGGGGATGTAGCTGGGAACAAGACGGTATTTATTATGAGGAATCTAATAAAAATCAAGCAGAGATTCCATCTTGAATGAGACTGAAGAGCCAAAGAACCCAGATAGCAAGTCAATGGAGGAGGGTTTACCACAGTTCGTACTCACAATGTGCTGGGAGATCGTTCCGATAAATAGACTCAAAATTCCACTCTAGAGACACCAGTGCCTCCCTCCCCCCTCTCTAAAACTATGGTTGTTGGGTGAACCTGCCTTAGATGCATCCAACAAACTTTAGAGCCCCATCCAACATTTAGATACTGGTCCTCTGCCGGGCCGAAGCGAGATTGAACGCATATCGCTTGCTGATGTGCCTGGCTGATGTCCATTTGGGACTCGTTTATTCGTCGATTTGATCGATTTGGTGAAGATAACCTAAATGCGTCTTAGGCTTCTCAGTTTGGAACCAGCTCAGGACTGGACTATTTCGTGCAGGTTCGCTGAACCGGTACAGCCCAGTAAATGACCAACCAGTGCTTGAGCATACACCGGGCTGTGTCACATCCAGAGGCGGATATTCCAAAGTTCAGTGGATGCTTCAGGGCCAGTTGCTCTGCTACAAAGTAGTCCGTTCCACTCCAGCTAGTGTTTGTTCGAGGCTACCAAAAGTGCTTCCTGTTGCACGCTGCGGTTTGTGCCGCGGTCGGTGGGCATATCGCGCCGGTGCCACGCCAGGGCCGAGATGCTCGAACGGCGACTCAGCTACCAAAGGCGGCGGAGGACAACGACGTCGAGCCATTCTCTGATTGATTAACTAGCTGCCGTTCTCCCCGGTTGCACCGTGGGAGGAGGGCGTCGTGGAGTCATCTGTGAAGGGCCGCGGCAGGCGGCCCAGCTGTCGATAGTAAAGAGGGACAATGACACGTCGCTCCCTGTTGACAACCGACCGCCGCCGCGCCTCCTCCAACGGGACTGTGCTGCGTTCCCGCTCTCGGGCGCGTTACTGAGACGGGCGGTGAGGTCGTTCGGGGGAGATGACCCAAAGGCATCTAACCCGTCGTTCGCTGTCCGGCAGGTGCTGCCGCCTGGAGTCGGCCGCTGAAGTCTGGCCCCCCGCCCTTGGAGCGACGATTCTCGGCATGGACGGTGACGTTCTTCTGTCCGGGCGAGATGGTGACCTGGCTGGTTCCCATTTCGGCGGCATAGCCCAACAACCCGTTTCGGGCAGCGAGCACTGACCGGAGCTTTTGACCTCCTGACCTGACTCCATATTTGACCTCCGTCCAGGCCTGGTGGTCGGCATTTCTCCGCCTGCGGCTTTTTGGTAGAACTGAAAATTATTCGGAATGATCGATTGCTATGTACTCTCGCCCCCGTACGGAGCTTGTGGCCGCCCTGTGAACATGGCTCTGGGGTGTCATCAGCCGCCCTGAGATTCCCCATCTTGTCTGTGCACTGGATGTGGATAGTCGTCGGATACTCTCCATTCGCCTGTGAAGAGACGCCGGTTCTCGTGAACCTCGCCTGTGGAGAACGAAATCATGAATATCATTATCTCGGCTGCCTCCCACTGATCCTGGCGGTTCTCTGTGGATAGTTTGCTCAGTCTCTCTCTCCTCTCCGCCGGCAGGGTCAGGCCGGGTCACCGGACCGTGACTCGCTTTGCCACTGAGCCCCTCCAAGTTGGTAAGTGAGGGGACGTCGCCAGAAGCGCCCGATAGGCCATTTCTCTTTCACCGGAGTTTTACCTTCACGTTGGAAGAGGTGCCCTCTCCCCACATGCTATGCAAACTTTTCTGAACACTGATAACCCCGGTATATGATCTGTCGTACATGGCGAGAAATAATTTCAGGATACATAATTTAAAAGGATAATGCAGATGTAAGAGAAATGCGTAAAAAACATGGGGAGTCAGAACCACCTTTCCCGGTCTTCCAATATATATTACTACAATATATTTCCCGGTCCTACAGAACAGTAACCCAATGTTTCTGGAAAATCATTCATCATCCAGATGAAGTTGAAAAGCCTAAGTATACCATGTCTGCGGCCCGTTTCTCATTAAACTAAGATGGTGTTATGAATTCCGTCAGAGCTAGGAGAAACACTCTTTGTGCGTTCACGAGCTGAGCGTAGTTCTATCACAGTGAAAGCAGCGCTAGACATTTCAAAAATGGTGTTAGGTGATTTGAAGCTGATTGGAGCAAACACGCAGTCCTGTTTGTGGCGAACAATCTACGGTTAGTCGTCCCTAGTATGCAACGCTCGACTAGAGCCAAACCTATTTCGTTTCCTAATTCTTGTGGCTTTGACAGGATACCTCCTGCAAACGTCCGGACTATGATTGCATTCGGGACAAGCTTTCGCCATATACTCTTCACCCGCTGTCACACTGTAGCGAGGGCCATCTGGCGATTCATGTTACTGACATACTCCCTCCGCGAAGAACGCTGCGCCTCACGTATGGTGTGCTTCACGACTGTCCTGGCCCGTTTGAATGCTATGAGGTTCTCTGTCTTAGCTAAACGAGTAAAAGCTTAAACGCTCGTTTTTGGCTGAGGATGGCTTCTTAACATGCATGAGACCACCAAAGGACTGGCTTTTTACGTGGTTCAGATGAGGTCATGGAAATGCATGTTCTCGCCGTAGCTAAGATAGAAGTCGTCACGTGTAAGGTAAGAGTAGGCGCACTGTCACCTTCAGCAGGTTCAACCACAAACTTACATCCCCCAGTAAATCGGAGGCAATCAGTTTTTTTAACGTTCCAACAAGGCGTTCGCCGTCCTGGGTGTGCCGTATTCGCGTTGATCCAGATGGGGAAATGGTCGCTTCACCAAGTAATGTCTTTCACGGCCCAAGACAGCCGGGGTAACAGTGTAGGTGAGCAAAGAGAAAGATCTGTGGCCGAAGTTCTACCCAGTGGCATAGATACGGGATGTTTATGCCCAGAATTTAATACGAAGAGACTATTCTGTGTCAGTAACCGTTTCAGATGCCGACCACGGGGGCTTGTGCAACTGCAGCCACAAGCTGTATGGCACGAGTTGAAATCTCTCAGCATCAAGAATGCGGAAGAAAGCCAGTCAAAGGCCACTTGCAGTGCAGAGTCAGAAACTTGCTCAGATGGAGGGAGCTATACACAGCACATGGTCAACTTCAGAAGTCCGAGATTAGCCTCGACAGCAACAGCCTGCCGGCCACACAGGTGTACAAGTCCAAGAGGTGAACATGAAGCACTGTCGTGCACTAGCATCCAGACCCCATCGTGGACTTTACTGGCGCTCGTGACATTTTTTCGGAGCATGCTGTAACGTCTCAGTTCTGCCGATGTGCCCAAAGAGACCTCGGTATTTTGAACGCACGCCACGACTGGATTTCTCATGCGTAAGGTCACTGTAGGTCTAGCATATTCTTTCGCAGACCACGCAGGTTCCATTGTAAAAAGTTGTTGGCATGCTACGGGCGCTGATACATGAGGTTAGCGGCTGAAACCCATCGTCACAAATCCTTGTACAGGTGATCGTCGGCACGGTACCTCGCGCCAAACAAGTCCCCGTGGCGACGCTCGGCTTCGGTGGAGGCCAGGCAAACCCTGGGGCGAGGCTTGGTGCTTCCAGCGTCGGTAGGTGACAAGGGCTAGGGAGGGGCGTGTTTGCTCGCGCAACCCGCCGCCGTGGACTGTTTGGGAGGCTGGGCGCCCCCCCCCCCCCTCCCTGTCACTAGGTGGGGAAGTAGGAGGCGGCCCTATCGACCCTTCCGGAGAGTGTGGCGGGCCGACATTGGGGCCCTGCCCCTGCAAGAATACCAAATACGCATTAAACACAGAAGTGGTATGCATGAAAAAGAAGTAAACAACAGTGGTTAACGCAGTTAACAGTGGTTAACGCAACGCAACAGTGGTTAACGCAACAGTGGTTAACGCAGTCAGTGATGTCGATATGTAAGCAAAACGGAACAGGACGAGAACAAGTAATGGCGCCACAAAATGAAAGTTGAAAGGCATTGAGAAACATGTTTGATTAAATGCAGGTACTGTGGAATAGTTTTTGGCTTTCTTGAGCGTGGGCATAATCACGACCCCGAGATCGCGGGGACAATCAGGACATGAGGAGGGGGAGGGGGGGGGGAGAGACTGGAATCTAGAGATGACAACCTGAACTTGAAATTTAATTTTGAAATGAAAGAATTCAAAGGACAAGCGTTCTTTAGGCAAACTTGGGGAATCACACACATGGCATATGGTACACATACAGAGCGAGACAAAAATATTGTTTTCCGTCCCCTAATCTCCTTAGAGATTCCGCCATCTCTGGGCATGATAAGGCAGCCAGAAGACAGGAGATGAAGGATGTGTGGCAACAGGACAGAACAAGACAGGTTAGCGCGCAGGACAGGATGAGAAAGGACACAGTAGAATAGGATAGAGGGAAAGATAACAGCACAGAGTAGGATATAACAGGGTAGAACAACAGTCGTCATTAGGAATTCACCACGCACTCAGCTGCTGAGACTATATGGCGTCGCCCGCCTCTCACCCTGGCAGGAAGGTAGGGCACTGCGGGAAATCTAACCTCGTACCTCTGGTTTCCCAGGTCGCGCAGTGGTTAACGCAGGCCCATTAACCACTACACTATCGGCACTCTGGGGGTAGAACAGCAAATAATCTAAGCAAGTCAGGAATGAAGATAACATGACAGAACCGGGTAGATGAGAAGAAGGTAGTACGGTGCAGCACAGCACATAGTGAGGATGGGCAAAGGGAATTCGTCCAAATATGTCGAGAAGAGATGTATCTGTCATCATTACACCATTGCAACGCGGACCTGAGCCCATGCATGACATTCCCTTGTCTCCCCTTTCCATCCAGCACTGGCCAGTGTCTTCGTCATTGCTCCACATAAAACAGCCCTGTGTTCCTCTGAGTGTGGAACACGCCACGGCAATGTATGCCCGGCGCGGGTGGTGGGTGGGTGGCAATCGACGATCCCGCGGACCGCACACGGCCGGCATACACTGCTACATCAACGGAGTCGTATATCATAAATATATAATAAAAACATCTAAGCCTACACACCGTTATGCTCAGAACTGCACAAGGAATGTGTCTGTTAAGGTTCGTGTTGCTGCAAGGCATGGTCTAGGAAATATGACCATGTAAAGCTTGACGAAATAAAAGGTCATGAAAATTTGACCGTTGACATGACATAATAAGGTGAAGTATTGGCCTAACAACATTGAGTAAACTCGTTTGCAAGACACCGTTGCAAACAGCCACTGGTGTTTTTGCTAGGATTTATATATTTTCTTTTTTTAGTTTAGAAGCGGCAGAGGGATGTGAGTTATCACACCGACCCCCACTATCAGTCCTCGTTACAAAAACGACGAATCAGGGCGAGGGTTATTACTCTCTTACGTTCGCTCTCTTTCAAGTCACCGGCCATGCTCATATGCACACATACGCACGCAATAGATCAATGACCTAGGGTGCAAGGGTGTAGTTTCCTATTCAGTGGCAGCCCACCCCTCCTCCCCCCACCCACCCACACACACTTAGACTCCAGTCTCGCGGACTATGTGGCTGGTCACACAATGCTTTTGCTCTGTGTTCGTAGCCAATGTATCCAAATCTGTGGCATCCACCCGCCTTGCAGGCATGGCCCACCTCCTTCGAAACTTGAGGATGGCGGGTACATACAACACCTCTGATCAGTGGTCTTCTCTGAGGAATTGGTGAATTATGCGACATCACGGCCAAAATATCAAGGAAGTCCATGAAAAAAGAGGGAAAAGGATCTTGAAATTCAACCAACCGTGGCGACACGACTGGCCACTAGGGGAGCTGGGATGCGGTCCCAACAGAAAAAGCACAAAACCCGCAGGACAGTCGCGTGGCCGCATCGAGCCAGCCCAGCTGGTGTCCTCGCCACGTCACTCCTGTCGGCATTTCGTGGACGGCGGCGGCGGCCGATCAGGCGCACCCAACGCCTCAAGACACCCAATGTACGTGAAAGAATTCAGAACAGTTGAACAAGCAAAAGTTTGCTCTCTCCTGTCTGCATCCCTTTCTTTCCGGTTCCCCTAACGGCGCACATTCCCGCTCTCTGGGACGCCATCTGTCTGATCGTGAGCCATTGACTGTTGAAGA